GACTAGAAAAGCATTGACAAGAATAAAGAAGGCTTCACTCTTACCTCCATATATATTCTAAATTAAGAACTATGTGGCAATGTCCTATAGGACCTCCAAAACATATTGACTTTGTAAGGCACATATTTTAACTTGCAAGACAAGTTTTTTTTATTTGTGCACTAAATAATTAACTTGTTATGTAAGCTATCAATATGTAATTAACTTGTTGACTAAGTTTCTAACCTACCAATCAACTACAAATACATATAAAGTCAAAGCAACATCCATATAGCTTCTAGAAAGCTTCTCTAGAAAATATTATGAAATAAATCTACTTTTATTTACTTCTATTTAATTATATAAGTAAATATTATAGTATATATATATATATATATATATATATATATATATATATATATATATATATGACAATATCGTCTTTTTTAGGAATGAGTTCTACAAAGAATAGTCATCAGATGTTGAAAAAATCTAAGATGCAACAAATTATGTTTGCCACATATTTTGATCTTTGTTCTCTTCAAAGATGATTGATAAGTCTTTTCAACCACCAACAGAGTTTCATATCAAGGCAAGAAAATCAAACTGTTATTTGATTGTTGTTGAGGCTTTTATAACTTCTTTTAAATAAAATATTTGGAACAGTGACAAAAGTCATTTCTACTTCTAATAAAATCACCAAACATTAAGAGTCTTGTCTAAGGTCGTGATACTTAACACATTGTACTTTGCCATCTATTCAAGGGAGCACATATCATTCTTGAAGATCTTCATCTTGATTACACTATCTTGAAGGTTGTAACAATCATAATATCTTGTTTGATAAGTCAACAAGTAATAGCGCTTGAATTGAATGTGGTGGTTATTGGTTTTCTACCTCGTTAATATTATAAATATAAAAAAATTACAAACAAGAGTAGAGGGTAGAATGCTATCTTCTTTGGATCTTCTTTCTTTTATAATAAAGATTTTTTTATTTTTCATCTTCATTTTGATAGAATGATTAATAAAAAGCTTTAACTTTCTTTGTTATATTTACAAGATTTTTTACGAGCTCTCATGTATGCTCACTAATATCATATTCATGTTAATGAACAAGATAAACTAATCTATTTTGACCTTGCTTTGAATCTAAGATTTTTTTTATTTCAAACTCTTGATTATTATCCATTTTTATTGGAAGAAGTGTCATTTGTCTTCTTTCCAAGATATTCAGTGTCTTGTATGGCTCAAAAAGAGACACATGAAATATAATATGGATCTTTATAGAATTTGGTAGATTTAATTGATAAGCAAGAAGATTGACTTGTCTACAAATAAAAAATAAGTTTAAGCTTACAATAATTCAACTTGTTACAAGAATGAGTAATCTTAATATTGCGATGAAGTAGCCATACCTTATTACTTATGATGAATTGTGGTTGTTTCTTGCAATAGGCATCAACATTGATCTTTTGTCATTCTTCAACTATTTTTAACTGTACCTTCATTGTTGCATATAGCTTTGACAAAAAATTTGTCAAATCTTCTGCTGTAAGATTATTAATATTTGAAAAGTCAAAAGTATCAAGTCTTAGATGATAACCATAATTGGCAAAGAAAGGTATTTGTTGAACAAAAGAATGTACCATTTTATTGTATACAAAATCTATCAATGACAAAATAGTTGTCCAATCACTATGATGATAGTTGATAGTACACTTCAAATACTATTCTAGAACTTGATTCATCTTTTTGTTTACCCATCAATTTAAAGATGAAAAACTAAATAGAGCTTTATATCTTCTTTTAGAATTTAAAAAAATATTTTAAAAAATCTTGATACAAATTAAGTTTATTTATCTAATATAATATTTTTGAGCAATCCATGATAATAATAAATATTATTAAAAAAAAACATAGCCATTTCTTCACATGTGATAGATTTTATATATAGTATAAAATGTGCTATCTTGATATAACAATCTACTATCACAAATATAGAATCATACAAATCTAAGATTGAAAGATCCATAATAAAATCTATAGAAATAAAAGATTGTAGTTGTTTTGAAATAGGTAATGGTTGAAGAAGTCTATAAGGTTGATAGCAAAGTCTTTTAAATCTTGAAAAAATATCACATGATTTTACAAAGTCTTTGGCTGCCTTCCACATTTGAAGCCATAAAAAATCTCTAGATATTAGGTTCAAAGTCTTATTGTGTCTAAAATATCCAACTGCTAGAAAGTTACAACGAGCTTAAAGAACATATAATTGTGATTCACCTTTTGGAATATATAATTACCTCTCACACAATATGATTATTATTGCATAAAATTGTTGCTTTAAAATAGTATTAAACTTATTGGTAGCAATATCCACTACTAAATTCTCACATTAGTCATTGCCAATATTTTAGACTACAAGTCATAGTAGATCCTACTACGAAGTTGCTCAAATAATAACTATTTTTTATTCATTTTTCATCTATTTTCACCACCAATTTTTCCTTAATAATAAAAAATGATCTTTAACCATATCCATTTGTAATTTTCTCCATCCATTTTTCACCACCAATTTCTCCTTAGTGGTGAAAAATGGTTACCATTCATATCCATTTTTTGCCACCAATTTTCTTGAAGCAATAAAAAATGGTCACCATCTATACTTCTTTATAATTTATTCTACTCATTTTTTGCCACTAATTTCTCTTCAATGGTGAAAAATAGTGACTATTCATGCCCATTTTTTTTTTATTTTATTTTATTACTTCCATCCTTTTTACACGAGATCATGTCTTAGTGGTGACAATCACTACCTATATTTCCTTGCTATTATTTATTTCTTTATTCTTTTTTTTTTTTTTTTTTTTTTTTGTGATTGACACCTTTATTCTCTCTGAAGAAGCACTACTCTCCTTATAGTACTCTCTGTAGGATTTGGCATGCCTCCTATCCCACTCCACTAAGCGACTTTCCAAACTTAGTATGTTTTGTAGAAGACCACCCATCCATATTGTTCCATCATGCAAGGAGAGGGTGGCTGAGACTTGTTGCCACACTCCCTTGAAAGACTCTGTAGTTAGCTAATTCTCTTGTGTTCCTAGCATAATCCCTATCTCCCACAATTCTTGCATGCTACTTGTCCTTGATGCTTCTTCTGCTTTTAGTTGCACTATTAGTTTCTTCAAGATCCTTCACTTGCCCTCTATGTTTCCCACGAGTTCCCAATAGACCTTGTAATGGTTAAGATTCAACCTAGATATCTGATGGCCTAGACATCTCAAGCTAGTCGATTGAATGAGGAGTCTTTTGCTACACATAGTGATGAGGCCTCCCCCCCCCCTTAACCATGAGGAAAATATAACACAAAAAATCCTTCCCTCACCTCCCCCATGGCTGATGCCTGTATCTCTGACCTACTGCTCACATCACCTCAGCTCCGCCATTTTCACACAAGCAGTGCTGCATCCCTCCAGATTTCTAACAGGATAACTGGTTTATCTTATCCTATGCTTGGGCCCACTACCTCTCCAGCTAAGCTATCCATGCCTTGCTTATTCATCCATATACCATTTTTATGATTCCACCCATATTCCATCCATCCTTACACACCATGTAAATAAAAATTTCATTATAAACCCCTATTCCCAATTGTTTTTATCTGTATTTGGCATGGGGGGCAGGCAACAATGTGCTAAGGGGGAGGATTAGGTCAGCAGGCTATTCCAAGGTGGGGACATGTGTGTGCTCCCCAAAGGCCCATTCCATAGCATGGATGGCCAGGTTTTATATGGTTTTAAATGGAGGCTCCATTTTCTTCTAAGGGAACTTGCCCTCCCTTTTGGGCATGAGAAGAACCCCAACCACATCATAAAAATTATTGTCTAGTTGGGTTGTGGTTGATGTGTCATGCTTTTGCATGGGGGGGCAGGGGCATGGAGAAACTCTATCCATTCATGAATTTTCATCTATTTGAAGTCGTGGATGACAATCATCCATGGAGGGCCCCCAACGCATTCCATCCACACGTCTCCCGTTCCAGCATCGTCGTCGTCGTCATCATCATCATCATCACCATCACCTCCTCATTCATTTGCTGCGCCGTCATCCCTCCAGTTTTTCATGCATCCATTTTTAGCCTCGGGGAAATATCTTGGGCTTGGCTCCACGTCAGCCGCCATCTTTAAGTTTGTCTACAAGCCCATTTAAAGGCTTTTATATATATATATATATATATATATATATATAAAAAGCATGGGTCTTTTCAATGTATTATCTATATGTGGAAGAAGTTTATCCATTTGTTGATTGAGTCGGGAAATGAAGGCTTAAAGCTATTTTAAATAGTATTGATCTCATTCACAAGAGTCACCACTTCATCATTTTGGTAAATTTATTGTAGTATATTATTTTGCATATCCAAAGGCTTTTTATATGAAAACAATAAAAATTCATATCATACTTCAGAAAATAACACTGGTTGGTTTCATGGGGTTTTTTTTGTAAGGCATTCTTTTGCATGCTCAATTGATAATGAAATATATTCCTCTATTGATTTTAAATCTGTATCAAAAAATTTGTTGCATTTGGTTTAGTTTAATGTTACCAATTTACAGGTGTAGAAAGTCTTAAACAGCCACAACTATTCCGAAAAACTTTTAAAGAGTATAATAGACTCTTTTACCACTACATCTATTGATAAAAACATAGTAAGTGAATGCAACTTGATGTGCCATGTATCCCATTAACATAAGCATATATTAACTATACTAGTATTTTGATTATGCATATTAAAGCATAATTTGTAGTGTATTAACTATATTAATTTTCTTTACATATTAGCCATATTAGTATAATACACACATTAACTGTATTAATTTACATTCTTTTACACCAAATTTTTATGAAATAGGTTTTTTTGAGCGTATAATTTTTAAGGTTCTTGATTTTGAATAATTAATTTTCAAAGCATAAATAATGATTTATCATGCATTAATCCAGTTCTTATGCACTCTGGGTAAAATTTAACCTATTTACATTAATGGTCATCTGAAAGAAAAATACTGGCTAACAAATCTAGTTCAAAATGTAGGTGTTATGAAAAAAACAGTCAATTAAGGAACAAAACAATAATTAAATAAGAAGAGGAAGATGCAACAGGAGAAGAGAGTAGTTCAAGCAGTTGAAATTAAATCCACCATTCACTTGTTGCAGCACGAACAGAACATCGTATCCTCGCATTTCGGCCGTTGACGAACACATATAGCACAAAGATTTTTGATCCGACTTGTGGGGTATTCAAAAACAGACCTGTAATGGAAGTCAAAAGAAGCTGGCTCGGGTGTCAAGCCTCAGGTACTAGACTACCCACCTGGGCTGTATTGAAGGTTCTACGACAGCAAAGATTTGCAGTAACACAATACAAGCTGGTTCATGATTAGGACACACTGAGTGGAGTAAGAAAGCATGCAATCCTGGTGATGACCACTCTAGACTAACAAAACGAACTGAACAAGACAGAACCCGATCTCCACGTAATCCTTTCACAGAGTGCTTTGGGAGGACGCTGGCCTTGAATTTCGCATCCTTTGACGATGTTCCTGAGAAACACATTGAAGCGACTCTTGAGAAGTTTCAATTGTAAACTAGTGGCCTACTCTTTCGAGGGTAGCCCTTCACATGATTGCTGATTCTATTTTTATACCAAATATGGATATGTTGGCGAACGTATGAACTTGCAGAAGGTTCAAAAACATCAAGTGACACTGATAACGACGGTGCAAGCCGTGCATAATGCCTATAAATAAAACGTGAATTCATGAATCAATACAATCTCATCCTCAGTTAAATAATGATTCTACAAGTGTTGAGTAGATCAAACCAACTTGGGTGAGATTGCAGTGGAGTCATTACCAAGTCCAGCTGAAGAGCTTTTTTGCGCCTTTGGATGACCTTCAGGCGACTTTCAGGGTCTTTGGCCATGACCACGGGCAAATAGTTATCCTGAGTGGTCTTTGAAGTCGATTCTGACATCTCTGCTTGACTCGACCATTGCTCTGTCACCTGCCGGCTCTTGGGAATAGACGTGGTTCTTCTTTTATTCCTTTCTGGAGAGATCTTTCCACCTGGATAATCTCTTCTTTTAGGTGACAAACTACCAATCTGTGCTGCATTAGGATGGTCACTGGAAGACCGGCGGACATCCACACCCCTTACCACTGGTTTTGACTTCCTCAAGTTCTCAAGGGCCTGGCTCTTCAATGTACCCAAGTTTGGCGCAGATACAAGTCCTTGAACGGAACCAGAGTTGGTATTGAAAGAGTAATTCCCATTTGGCACCGCATCTTCGCGAACGGGCTTCTGATCAAATGATTTTCTTAATTTTGGGACCGATTTAGACCTGAAACCAGTAAAATATTTAGTTAGTCAACTTGCCGTAAGCCAGTAGGGAAAGTCTGTTTTCATGCGCGGTAAGTCATTTTTACATCTTGGCAAATATTCAGACTAAAAGACATTTCTTTTCCTCGGACTCTTCGAATCAAGGCTTTCTGATAGTGAAAGGGAAGCTAAATGAACTACTCAACGCAGTAGTCCAATAGAAAGATTACCTTTGATTTTTGGATACCAGACTTCCATTGCTTGATAAATCCTCTGCAATACGAGTAGATGACTTGCTGCCATTCCTATCCTTAACTGCAACGTGAGAGGTTTCAATACACGAGAGCCTTTCATTGTTCCGAATTGAGAAATCGACTGACTGAGAAATGGGTACTTGGTCTTCTACTGCATCCAAATCCAAGTCTCCTTTCGTCCAACTTTTATAGAAATGAGGGGATCCTGCTTCCCACAATGAACATTCTGTAAGCAAAAGAGCCAGTGATTGATTTATAAAGCATTCATATCAGTGATATTAATCCATTTTCTAGATTCTTCATCATATTTTTACTTTCAAGGCCATAAATTAATTGACACTTTTTCTTTACACACCACATCCGCGGTGACAGTAAGTTCTCAAGAGAATAGTTGTTTAAACTAACCTGGCTTCCTGTATCTGAGCCTTTCTCTTTCATTCAAATGTTCTGAATACCTAGTTTGATCTTTCACTTGATGTACTGGTCGTCTACGCATTGAATTTCCCATGCTATTAATATGCCCATTGCTTCGAGGGCCTCCTGGTCGAACAACCTCACCCGAAACCTTATTTACTGCAGGCTTACAATTTTCTACCACCTGCTGAAGCATCCATGGCTGATCAGCTTCATTGTGCGCAATTCCATTTCTGTCAAGCTCCCCATTAGAATGGATCTGCTGAGCAGGAAATTCCTGACCATCCTCTCTCTGCCTGAATGGAGTTTCGTTTCCAATTTCATAGTTGCAAGTCTTCCACTCTCTCTCAGGAATCACTACACCTTTTCTGACGATTCCATTACCATTAATCTCCGGAGAATGTAAGCGATTTTTAACTCCTCCCTTCACTAAATGTTCTCTAAGCACCGCATGACCATCGTCTAAAACTTGATTGGGAGCGCAGTCCATAGTCTCAGCAGTCCTCTGAAATCTCTCTTGCGTTCCTTTGCGTACATTTTCTGCAGACTGTTGTTGAACCCATTTATTCTGCGGTAACCGCTTCTCCAACACTCGTTTCACTTTATCGTGTGCTATGAAACCATTCTCTTGACGCAAGTTCCTCTTTTCGTATTTATTAGTTTTACTGCTGTCCTTCACTTTATAATCTATTTCTGATACCGGATAAGCTACTCTTTCCCTCCCATCCTGCGTCCTTGAGTTACCGTTTCCATAACACCTGTAATGCATTGCCTTATGATCTAGCTGATCGTCAGAACTTGTCTTCACAATATCTTGTACATTGTGCAGTTCTATTTCTCGCTCTGCGTTTCGCGTGATCATGGAAGAGACGGCGGCAAGCTCTAATTTTCTAAGAGGGATTTGATTAGATTCACTACTAATTTCTCTCAATAATTTCTTGAGCTCATCCATGTATGTCCTCGCTGATGCTGGCCTTTCTGTATGTCTAAAGGCGGAATCAACCTGCTGATGTCGAGTGTTGCCGTTTGAATAAACTCTTGAAATATTTCCAGCTGGTGAACCATGACTGATTTTTTGTGAATGCCTCTCTGGAGACGAGGCGACAGAAGAGAATGGGCTACTCCGGTCCTGCAAAATATGACCATTATATTTCATGAACTACAACACTTTACCAACAAGGTTCTCTTCTTGGAAGTAATATCTAGGGCTTAATCTACTCTGCTTTCGTAACACAGATCAACAGCAAGATATTTCAACAAAATTAGGCAATCAAAGAATAGCTGGTGATAAATTATACAAGCCAGACTTTAGTTCTTCATGCCCTGATTGTCCAGTAGAGAACGTTTCTTTTATTTAACTATATTAAAGAATGCCACAAAACCAAATGAATCTAGACAAGGGCACGTCGTCTTGAGAGGACCGCGCTGTATTTACCTTGGAAAGCTCATCAAGCGGCCTCAAGCAGGGCTGGTTATTGCTCTGATTATCTCCATTTAAGTAGAGTCCTCTGCTAGTAATGATTGATGAAGAGCTCGAAGCTGGTGAAGAGATCGTGGCACCACGCAGTCGTTCGTCAAGCTCCCTCACCTAAACATTCAGGAGAAATTGTTTACTTCAGCTGAGTGTTTTGGTTGTAAAAATTTTCACCCTTTGCTAATGATTTGGGGCTTATGAATGCTATCATAGTTTAGGTAGGAATCGAGTGAGATAATTCCAAAAGAACCTTAAAATGATTGAACTCTCCACCTTAAGATTGTATGCAGTTTTAAAAAGTTCAACAATCCATATATGCAGAAAATTAACTAAAAATAATCGATATCAAGACAGCAAGTTGCTGCACCAACAAAATATTACAAATTAGTAGCTAGTTTTTACAAAACAAGATATGAAGATGGTTCAGATCAAAGTCTGCAATGCAGGGATCACGCACCTGCTCTGCCAGAGATCCAAGGACATAGTCAAGAGACTGTCGTCCCGAAGTATCATTGGTCGAATCCTTGTTCTCATCACTGCTGATCAATAGTGATGATTTACTTACCTCGGAACTGCGGGGCGATCGAATGGTCCGATTCGAACACTCAGATAACTTGGTAGCACGTTTAGAACGGGCTTCTGGACAATTTTTACTAGTTTTTAAATCAGAAGAACTACTTCGATGACTTGGCTCGTGGTAATCTTGTTCATCCACGATGCGGTCTGGACTTATTGATGGCGGATGTGATAGACAAGGCTTGTTGCCAGAGCAGATCATTCGGCTTTTATGACTTGCCCTAAAGCGCGCAAGGTCAATTCTCTGCTTGTGTACGTGATCATCCTGAAAATCGTCGTTCTTATTCCGATTGGGGCTCCTTCGGAAAGGCGTTCTTGACTGCCAGGGCTTGATAAGATCTCGGTTTGAATAAACCTTAGACAATCCTGACGAACTTGATTCTTTAATAAGCTCAGTTGCTCGTTTCATGACTTTTACATGATCGCGTGAAAAGGTCCCACTTTTCCCTGCAGTCATCAGCGTGTCACCAACATTCCTAGCAGACTTGGACCCAGCATCTTTGCTAACACTTCTTTCTTTTTCTCCTAAATTTCCCATGGGACGCAATGCTACCACATCAAAAGATGACGTTGATTCTCCGGATCTTCGCAGCTTCTCCTTCATTGTTAAAAATTCATTAGTCCAGCAGTTTTTCTCCTTGGATTTTAACTCCTCCGTGTTGACTCTTGTAGAACGAAACACTTGACGTACCTGCCGAAAATAAATTACATACAGTTCCTGTAACTTTGAATTTTTTTAATAAATACGAATCGATGTCTCGCCTATAGTACTCAAATGGTGACTTTTATTATTCTCAATGAAAGGCGAAGATTCCAATAGTATCTTCTCACTTCATGCAGAAGTAATGTAATCGAAAGAGGATAATTCCCACAGATTCCACAAAGTACAGAATACATGGCCAAATGCACAAGCACATACCTGATTAACAGGTGACTGAAACCGCTGAGCTGATTGGAGTCTGATTTTTGTGCCAATCTTTTCCGAAGCATCCTTTTCATTCCCATTCGAATCTAATTGAGAAAATTTCCAAGATCGTGGAACTGAATTGTCTCTTAAGTTTCTTGCACTTTGATCGGGATGATTTTTGGCTCCAGCTGCTGAAGTGCAGCAGTTTCGAGGAGTATTGCGTAACACTGGCTGTTCCGGACTATCTTTTGATTGGTGATCGGTGTGTAGTTCTGTCGGTCTCTTAGCTCTTGAATTGGCCTTTCTGTCGGTTGATGCGGGAGGAGAGCTAGGTTCCGACTTAATTGAAGTCCTCCCTCTAGGGGCCTCTAGCTTCTTTCTAATAGCTTGAACGTTTTGTTTTTTCTCATCGATGTAGCTTTTCCAAACAGCTTTATTTCTGGGTTTTGCCCCCTGAACATGTTTTTCCTGAGGTTCAGAACCTTCGCCCTTCCTTGAGTTTTCTTCTCTGGGTTTACCGGTTCCACGAATTATCTGTACAAACACAGAAAAAGGAATGCTCATTACATAACAGCTGAATTGAAAACTTTGCCACCTTCGCGTCAGCACGGATATTTACAAACGTAACTACCATTCACATAGATTTAAGAGTACACATTATTCCCACCTTGACATGGGTTGCTCACGTACGAGACCTGAAAAATATTAGTGACTGTCAAAATACTTGAATCGTTGCGTCATTCATGCTGTTTCGTTCGTCCAGCATGATGACTCCAATTTTTACAGGAATTTTTTTAAGGTGACGAATAATTTACATGATCATCGGCAACACATCTCCACGTCGCTGTTTCATATCTGATGTCTTTTCTCCTACTCTTCGGGGACCCTGGGTCTCTACCAACCCCCCTTGAAGCAGAATCCTTCCAAAGCCCATGCTCCTCGTTCATCTGGTCTTCATGAGCTGCCAATTTCTGTGATCTACCAAAATGTTTTAGTATTTTGCGCTGTTCTTGGGGAATCGGAGTTCCAGTCCGAGGACTTAAAGTACAAGCAGAGCATCTGGTGGTCTGCAAACAATTGTTGATTATTCTGGACACGCCTTTTGTGGATGCATCAGACAACAGCCGATGTCTTTCTCTTAGAGGAGAAACATGAGCATTTGCTTCCATGATTTTCTGCTCACTGTCCAATTCTGACCCTCTGCGGACGTTAGGAAGTTGAGCTTTGAAGCTCTCCCTCACACTTTGAATAAGTGGATCCTTGTCTTTGTCGGTACCTCCTTTGCTCTCGCTTTCTATACCTGTTGGCTTGCAAGGCCGAGCCTGCATCATCGGTCCGGTGACTAATTTCTTGTACCCTAACGTTCCAGATGATATGAAGGGAGGTCGGGTGACAGTTGGAGAATCATGTCGTTGACATGATCTCTTTGTCTCAAGATGCTCGTTGACGTCTTGCGTAGAGCTATGTTGCCTTGCTCTTCTGCAGCGAAAGGCAATTCCTTCGTTGTAAACTTCCATTTGCTTTTCAACTTCGGCAGCCTCTTGGATTAATAGCATACGATGGCGGATTTTACTTGGAGAAGCATTAGTGCGATTCTCATTCACAATTCCCTTTTCCCTTGTGCTCCATCTCCGTGCGATATCGTCATCATCTGATACATTATATTGTCGCTTTGCTGTTTTCTTATCACTACCGACATTTTGTTTTAACGTCCAGCACTTGTTGGGGGACTTCAAACGCTGCTGTTTCAAAACACCTCCTTCATTACTGGTAGTGTTGAGCTCCGCGCGCTCAAAGGAGTCTCTAACAGGCGATATTCCTTTTCGCTTCGTTTGAACTGGAAAAAGATGTGTAGACTTAGTTACCCCAGGTCCGAGACTAATCGGACCAGATACATCAGCTGCATTCTGCTGCTGAGTAATGCGTAGAATGTCTCTCCTATTAGCACATGTTTGACTACGTGCGTTCCGACCACTTTCGTTACGCCCTGTTTCTTGAGGTAACAAAACCCCATGCTGGGACTGAAAAGGAACATGGTTCGCTAATTGTGTTCTTTCCCCTCGGATGTCGATTTTTGCCAGTCCCTGCTTCTTTGGACTTCCCACAGCACTGCCTTGAAGTGATTTCGACTTTATCTCGATGCTACCAGTCGCAGATTCGGTGGTGGTTACTCGTTCTTGTTGATGATCAAGATACCCAGTGGTCACTGAACCTGAGCAGAAATCCATCACAAAAGAACTGAAGCTTAGAGATGTAACACGTTAGTACAATCTTTGATTAAACTTGAAAACTTGGTAGAGAATTTTCACACAACATCCGTGTCTAACTAAAGATAGGTGACTCAAAGAGATAAAGACCAAGCATGATCCACCTGTCTCGGATAACAACGGATGACCACATCTGCTTAGCATTCAACAGATTTGCTTATTTTTAATTAATCTCTGCCACATGGAGTGCATGAATTCGAAACTTAAATTACCATCACCCATGCATAGTATGAGCTTTAGCGTGAAGGTTGGGCGACAAGAACTCCTGAAGAGAAACAAGTTGATGAACACAGCCTGGGAACGTTGCCAACATGAATTGGGTGCTGACAATAACTACAAAAGTGGGATGTTCAATCACACATTAATTAGTCTAGGTTTGAGGCAAGACTTCTAACTCGCGCTCTCTTGGTTTCCTACTCTTTCTAGGACATACCGATGTGGTAAGTCCTGTTTCACCATCAGGTTTGCACTGAACGATAATTAATTTGGTGTTCGTTCGTTTTCAATTGGCTTTGGCTTAGGCGCGGGCGACGTTAACTCTATGTAACTCCTACAATTGGAGCATGTGAGACTGGTGTGTGGCAAACCTGCAGAAAGCACCCCACAACAACCCCACAGTTCAGTCATGTCATTATAGAGGTTCCACTAACTCTTCTCTTGAACTTTACGAGGATATAGGGTTAACGATGGGATGCGATTCATGTCACAGTCCCACAGGTCACCACAATTTTTGAACCAAAACGTGCAAGCCCCAGATGAAGAAAATTCAGCAGCAATATTGTTCACACACAGCATAGACAATAAAAGGAAATCTGAGTCCTTTTCCAAGCCAGAATGCACGAATATTGTTAAGATCTGCGATGGCCACTTAAAGTTTTACCCAATTCAAGGAGTAGGACCGCCCTATCATTCTAGTCTGTAATGCATTTTCATCTCTTTTAAGATAGTCTGCGTTGGTGACTCAGGAAAGATGTGGATTCGTGTATCTTACCTACTACAAGTTCCTCGTAGAAATTGAATACTGCATTGTGATATGAAGTGCTTTCTTTCCATGGTTCCTATTACTTCCCCAAGGCGGAAATAGAGTTGCAGAAAAGTTGAGACTTCCCCTCCACCTAGCAACAGGAGACGTGATCTACTGGATGACAGGGGTTGAAAACCACGCAGATTCTCATGATACAGTCCCGACGGGCCAGTGTAAATAATCTGATGCACCTAATGGTGTGCCTTTTTCTAAAATTTTATTACATTTCACCATTCAATAACATTATTCTGGCTCTTGGTGAGAGTATGGTTGATGCATCGTTCCAAGTCGGAACTTTAATGCACTCTTTAGACTCTAGAAAAATCTACCATACCTGCTTTGTAAAGTCCAGAGTAGAGTGGGCTACAGTAGAGTATTCCTTGAATTTTTGTACTAGAATTTCCCTTTCCATTGGAGACCGACGTGTGGAAATTCGTCGAGTAGCTTAGGTTTGTAGTTATTTTAAGTACAAATTGTGAAACGCCGATGAGGTTGCACAGGTGAGGTTCTTTACATATTATTAGTTTGATCGCATCATTGTGCAGGTCATTGTCCAACGACTCGATTCAACCATATCATTTGGATACAACGAGATGTATTGCAGTTACCCATGGTTTCAACACTTAAACCAGAACTTCAGAACCACTAGTTTTAAATCGTCGACCTTGAATTTGTTACACATTGATTCTCATCAACAAGTACATGATCTGACAAACGTTTGTAGTGAATTTACCTGGACACGAGAGAGGATTCGAGGTCTTGTGCTTTGTACAAATAGCAGGTCTTTCTTGTCCAGATATGCTTGCTCGCTTGCATGATCCTGGATTAGCAACAGCATGGAAGCGGTCTTTCCCATGGTCTTCTGCTCTGAAAGATTCCTCTACTTCTTGCTCCATCGTTGCAATTCTCTGTTAAACATCTCAGCCTCTTATATGTTATTAAGGCAACATTTGGACACTCGTTAAAGAACATTAACATGATTCTAAAAACTAGGATCCTCCAGGACAACATCATATCTCTAAATCAGGGACTTCTTGACAACATTAACATTCAACACACACTATCCTGATGATCCTTACTACTGGCTTCCTTTCACCTGTGGTATCACTCCACAACCCTCAAATACTGGGTTTTCAGAGGTCCCTCCTTGAAGTGAATGCAACAGAATTGCAACACCTGATCACTCAATAGCTTGGCAGCTGCTGCGCTACCCCTTTCAAGCTTCCGCTCGTGGTAGAGTCTTTCAAGCTCAATTCGGCGTGATCTTTCACACCTGCTCCTTTCCCGATGTTCGTCCGCTGCACGCCATGCATCAATCTCTTCCTGCTCAGGGCAATCGACCACTGCAGAAGACATCTGATTCGTACGATTCTGGAGGGCATCAAATCGAGAATGCAGATACGTGTCCTTAAAGTCGATGGGAGTCCCCGCAAGTCTGCTAAAAACCTTTTCTCGTGATGTATCATGGTTTGATACTGGATTCACCGCCTGAAAGCAACCTGAATGCATCAAATTACCAAGTTCAGTTTAGATTCACTGTGGTACACAAACACAACAGTCTCGATCGTCGTTATTTTGAAGGCTGAAGGTCCATCGATGAACCAAAGACAAGCGGATTTTCTTTCTACAATAATGCATATTTTTTCGAGCGAGCTAAACACAGGTGGTGAATACAACCTGAAATATTATGATTACGAAGTACTCTGAACAAAATCTACGTACTAAATATTTCAGCCTTCACACGTTCAATTGATACCATTACGGTTGGAAACGTTTTGAAGATCCATTTCTATACCATATATATGTTTTTCCTGGGAATTCGGTCTTGGCTTTGCCTCTTGATTGCAGCGGCGGGCAAAACTGCGTTCAATGCTGGATACACTCTCCGTAATCTTTCTCCACAGTGCTGAAGCATTCTCCCCTCTCTCTCTCAATTCTTTTTGCTCTCGTTCCTTGAGGCACACGTTGTAGGGACCCTCGAAGCGTCAGATCTAAGCATTACGAATCTAAGTACGATTGTTTCACTTTAGCTGATGTGGTGAGCCATGAATTAACGGATGGATGAAGAGTTTTAGCATGCAGAATGAAAAAAGAATATTCTTGGAGTGCAGTCATAGAGAGTCCTGCAATGAATGAGTTCTCCTGTCAGTGAGTAATGATGCTGTACCTTAGCCATGGCCTCCTCAAACCGGAGGACGTCCCAACACCGGCTCTCCTCTGCCTGTCTCGTCAACAACGCTTCCTTTGCTATCTGCAAACCCAAGAAGCATCTTGCCTCGTATATTTTATACATCAATTCCATGTACAGGTGCATATTTCATGGAGAGCTGTAAGATAAAATACTCCATAAAATTCGTACAAGCTCACACAATCCAGACATGTTGCACAACTCACACTCCACTATGTCTAGTATTCACGATAAATGTTGCAAAGACAGGTCTGAGGGGTGAGAGAAAGTTATACCCTGTTGCGCTCAACTAACTGTGCCGCATCATGGCTAAGCCCAATGCTCTGGCACGCATTTGCAAATTCTTCCTCCAAACTAGCAACGCGCCGCTTCTGATCTTTATCCCAAGCCTCCTGCATCTCTTGCATGCAGAAATCATGAGTCCCTTATGCCCCCATGTATCTAAAAGCTAAGGCTTCATTTCTTAAAGCAGTGTCGGAGTAAAGCAATGAACATGAGGAATTCTTCTTGAGTTTCAGAAAAAGAATTCTTGCGAAGAGAGCACCTAAATGCTTCAAAACATAACAAAGCAGGATACTCCTCAACCTTCAATTTGGAGGTAATCCAAGTTCGCTGTATCAGCAGTAATCATTGCGAAATTTATATCACATGGATAGAGATATCAAATGATCTAAGTAATTCAAGAAAGCGTTGAGGAAGAGATGGGAACGAAAAGAGAATCAAATTTAGTCTCACCAACAAAAGAATTACCTTGAGATGATTTATAAGCATATTGCTGCCTTTCGTTTTACGGTCTCGAAACTTCGCAACACGTTGCGAAGCGAAAAGCATTTCTTGAGCTCGAACCTAATCCATCAGCACCTCTCAGCTTCAATTCTGTTTCTGCTTGAGTTTCCAACAAACATCTCGACTGCAGGAACGGCACATTTCAAGGTTGGAATCCTCTATTCTACAGAATCTTGCTGATCAAGCCCACGCTCAGCCAGTTTCATATGGTCAGTTACAGTCAAGACAACCACAAATCATAACATCAGGCCAAATTCACGAGAATGTTTGATCTTTACACAAACCTGCAGAATTCGGTTAGTCCGCAACTTGTCCTGATAATCGCGGGCTGACAATTTTTGTTCCTCCGGATTTAGTGCGAATGTCCCGTGCACGCATACCTGCAAGAGCCAATGCAGAAATCATGAGATAGTGAGTTTCACAGAAGAGCAGGCTTAGGGCATCAAACATGACAACGCCATTGATAATTCAAAATTTCAACGCAATCAACACAGCGACCTGAGTTGCGCCATTCAGTACACGCTTTGGACGACACAAGTGGACTGGTCCAATGCGATGATCTCTACTCGTGCACCGCAAGTATCATGGAAGTGCAGCGAAAGCGGGGAGACCTACCTTCTCGGTGGCTAGTTTGGGCGGTGCAAGACAAAGGGTTTCCTGCACTTTTCGCTGCAGGTACTGCTGTCGTTTGTTTCTCTCCTGCTCCAATCTACTAGAGGTAGTCGACATATTTGGCCACCGTTTCATCCTGAACCCTAGGATCGAACAAGTTCCACTACAATCTCTGTAGCTGAGGCGCAATGAAGAGAAATAGTCTATTCTAGCTCTCAATCTCTGCATCTAAGACCCAGCATAATTTATTTACCTATCCTTAAAACTGTCAGCTGGTTCCACAAGTTTCCTCAAGTCAGAAATGCAATGCCCTCCTTCTGGTCTTATTCGTTGTTCCGGAACTCCCATCTTTTTTCCTCCAAGATAACCTCCGCCTGGCATCAGGATGTTTCTAAAACCAGATAATCCAATCAATTCACCGTGATCGTACTCAGATGTCCTTTTTCTTCATTTTTTTTAATTTTACGTACATCCTCTTCCAACCACACTCAGACCTCTACCGCCCGCTCATGTTACACCTCACTCACAGCTTTGCTTCAACTCCCAGCACATACCCCACACTATATCCCTTTTCTTATCATTCCGAGTGTTCAGTATTCAATCACCCACATCTGATCAAATTTCTTCCTCGTCACTCACGCATGACTCAGATAAAATAAACATCATTCAAATGTGTCTCAGGAATGTAATTGATCGCATCCACAATTACAACATAGAAGAAAAACGGACTCTGAAAACAACCCGTCGTCACCAACAATGCGCGCACTCATTCTCAATCTCTCCCTCCAAAAGCGTCCTTATAGAGCATTCCACTCTCCAGTGACACGAAACGAATTCGAGAACTTAATTGCGAATGCATTGACCCCCACACCCCTTATCTCCTCCAGCTCTACAATACAAATTACCCCAAACTCGCTCCAAACCAGGTCATCGGTCTCAAGCTTTCCCACAACTTATCCTCACTTAACCAAAGTATACACACAAACACAGTCGGAACAACTTCGGTAGCGCACATCACAACATCCACTGTACCATACTCTACTGAGACAGACGTCCAACCCTTCCCTTCAACAAAACTGGAAACAAAGAGAAAAAGAAATGGAGCAATGCCTGATCATTCCCGAAGTCCTCAATCGTCTAACTATCCAACGAGGCACCTAATACTTGGGCTGAGTTTCAAGGGCGATCAAAGCACGCTGCGCTGCCAAGTTGAAATGGAGTCATGACCCATGACACAGAAAAAAAACAGACTGTAGAGAATCAGTTAGGTTAGGTAAGATCTTCAGAAACAGTTAACAAACTGGAACTTCACCGTAAATTTCAGCTTGAGAGACATGAATGCTGTCGGCATTCGACCCAATTCTCATTTCAGCGAATTGAGCTTCCGGTTGTCATTGCCTTGCACTTCACTTGCAACTCTGTGTGGATTCCACTGATTTTGTGAAGACTCCGCTTAAACTGGCACCACAACTCGGAGTGTGTGTGTCACCCACCCACAGTTCGATCAGTGGCCATGAAGCTCAGAATCAGCAGAAGAATATATGTGCAATCTCATCCTCTTGGTGCGAGAGAAAAACATGCAGGATTGTGAGGTTTCATGGTTACTTCACAATCGAGGCTACAACTGGAATATCTTGTTTCTGTCTGCAGAAAACCAAAGTGGAGGTGGACCTTGAGGTTTTCATAACAAAGAGTTGGGGTTAAACCTTATTGTTCTGCATTTTTATGCAAAGTGTTCATACCGACACATCGTCTGTTTTCTCCTCTGTGTTCATACCGACACATTGTCTTGCAAATCTTGATTAGAATTTTTTGGTGCTCGTAAGAAGATGTCATTGTTTTAATATCACCATTTTGTAAAGAATTGGATAATGATTGAAAGGAATTAAAAGAATCTTAAAAGTAACAAGTGGCACAATGGTAATACAACTAAAAATATTTATGTGTATAATAGGATGATGTCATTATAAAGTCTAAAAATAAAAGATTAGAAAGTTGAAGTATTTGTTAAGTTTTAAATAAGTATTAATTGTATCTACACATGATATGAATGAAATTGGTACCAACTTTTAATTAATAAATTTGGATGGTTTTGTTATAATAAAAAATTATTGTATTGTGGTAAATTAAATTTTTTAACAACAAATTCTATCATAATTTTATGTTTGTTTCATATTGATTCTTTTTGTAAAGTAGCCATTACTTGTGGCTCATTATTCATGTAAAAGAATTTATATTTTTTTATTATTCTTAAAAAAATCAAATTCTATCTAATTCTATCTAATTCTTTGTCATTTTTTATGTTTTATTATTTCTAATGTGAATTGTACTTAAAAAAATTTATTAACAATAAATTTAAAGGTAATTTTTATCTAATTTTAAAATATTATAATTATCATTTAAAAAAAAATATATATATATATAGATAAATGTTAAAATGATCCAAGCTTCTATTAAGTTGATCCATCCATCATTACAAAGGATATAAGGTAGTGGCCTTAAGTACATCATCATTATTCTTATCCACATATAGATTGAAAAATTAAAATTTTTTTAAAAATGGATATAGCACAATGATGGTTTCCTTGCGAAAAACAATGATTAATTATGAACGGCTATATTTAAGCATTGCTTTCTATGTTGTTCATTGTTAGTAATATATATTCTTATATATTCAACTTATTTGCTGCTTATACTATATTGTCATATTGTATTACATTCTTAAAAATAGAGAGATCTTTGTTTAGATTATTTTGACTTAAAAATAGAAAACATGTCACATACGTCTCTTCTATTACAAGAGTTTTTTAATAGTTTTAAAGAGATGATGAATAGTATAAAGGAGGTTGTTTGTAAATGTCAATTTGACAAAGATTGCATAGATTTTAAGTATGGTAGGGGATTTTATTGTGAGAGGACTAATCCAATTTGGCAATGTAATTTTGCAAGTCAATTACTTGGATGTACATTTGCTTTGCATGCACAATCTATCTAAGGTATTATACAATAGCAACTAATAATTTGAAATGGTCATTACAACTATAGCCTTTTATCTTTTCTTATAGGAAATTTGGTGGCTAGATAATTGCAACCAACAAAGATAGTACAAATACAAATAATAGTATAAAACTTTCAGTAGGAGTTCCTCCAAAGAATATTATTACTATGCTACATAAGAGAAATCTTAACACATGTGTTAATCCTCACACAATTTATAATGAACATCAAAAATTACATCAAATATCTCGTAATGGTTCTATTTTCATTATTTCACTAATATAAGTTTTATCCAATGGTGAATATGATCTTTTTTATTAATGTAATAAAAAGGACAAGATACTTTACTCTTCTTTGTAAATGCAAAATATATTAAATTAACTAAAAGTTATTTTTCTTCTATTTTTATGGATTATACTTATAAAACAAATAGATTTAAAATTCCTATGTTATATGTAATATAGATAACAAGTTTTAATAATCCTTTGATAATAGTTGTTATTTGTTCCAAGAAAAATTAGAGTTGTTTTTTACTTGGGCTTTAACATAACTTTTTCATTTGTATGGAAATATTACATTAATTTACGTTGGAATTGATTGGGATTTGGTATTCATAAATATCACTAAAAATATTTTTTCGACCTTTAATGTACTATTTTACATTAAGTATATTCAAAGAAATATTATGGCAAAATGTAAGGAATATTTTTACATGGAGTCATGTGATAACACAATTATGTGGTTAAAAATAAAAATATGGATGTTATTATAGGAAAGCCTAGTAAAAAGATGTAATATAAAAATAATAATAAATTATAAAAAGATAATAAAAAGTTTAGTCTTAATGCTATTTTTTTTTTAGAAGGAACTTCTATTTACTTTGTAAACGCATAAATGAGCCAAATCAAAGTAAATAAGATAAGAAATTGATACAAGCATATTTAGAAAAAAACTAAAAATAGGTTAAAGTAAAAATTACCTCAAATTACTAAAACTTGATATCCATAGAAGACGAATTATCAACCTAAGTTGAAATCAGACGCTAAGGCACAAAACTGCATATCTACAGTGACTATAAGGTGCTTTTGCAAATTAGAGATTGGAATTTAAAAGCAAAATTGATAAGAAATTTTTGAGTATTGGTTTCGTGTCATTGAAATCTAAATCCACTAAATATATTATTAATTTAGAATAATATTAAGATTTTTAGGAATTTTCAAAATTAATAATGTATTTAGTGGATTTAGATTTTAAAAAATAAAAATATGTTTACAAATTCGAAGATTTCTTGAATTTTATAGCATATTTATTAGAATTAATCTAGAATTTAGGATTTTATTAGAGTTTGATCTAGGATTCGGTCAAGGTTCATTAGGGTTTCAATTAAGATTTAAATTAAGATTTGATCTAGGCTTTGGTTAAGTTTTATTAAGATTTTAATTAAGATTAAATAAAGATTTGATTAGGATTTATTTAAAATTTTGATTTTTAATATTTTTGAAAGATTTTTTATTATTTTTTTAAAATTTTTTATTTCTAATATTTTTTTAAGATTATCATTATTTTCTTAAAGGTTTATTTTTATGTTTTTTTTTTAAAAAAAATATTATTTTTTTAAAGATTAATTTAGGACTTTTTATGTTTCTTTTATAACTCCTTTTAAATTTATTTTGAATTGATTAAAGTTTAGTTAGAGTTATTAAAGATTACTTAAAGTTTATTTAAAATTTTATTAGACTTGGTAGGATTGTTGTTATATTTCTACTTACCTTCCACAGATAAATACTCAATATATTTTCAAGCAAGAACATATATAATATAACAATGAGATTAAAAGGAAAATGGCTTATTTTTTTGGTATATTGGATCAATGTGATTAATGCCTCTATATGTGCAATTTATGATTAATACCTCTATATATGTAATTTATGATTAATGCTACTATATAGGTATTTTATGATTAAGAGTGGAACAAGTTATCCACCATCTATACTTCTACGTATATCTATGCAATAGTGAAGTATTTACAAAATTCTTAGAGACTACAAAAAAAAAAAATTGTAAGGGCTTGGATAAATGACTCGCCTTGTTTTATTATAGATGTATATTTAGAACCTAAAAATCACAAAGTCTTTGCTTTACTAGATTCAAGAGCCTCAACTTATTTTGAAAGTGTAATAACATGTTGAATAGAAGGTCAACATTCAATCCTAAAATCCTATAGTAAGTTAGAAAAAATAAGAACTACAAGATATATCTAACAATGCAATAGACAATGAATATTCTCCTCAATGGATAGTTTCACAATTAGAAGCAATTGAAGCAGCAAAAAATAGGAAGCATTGTAGAAATTGCAATAGTTACATGCACAACAATCAAACTTTTCTATACAATCCATGATTAATTTACCAATATTTATAAGAGGTTTTCAAATTTTATAAAGCATATATTAACTATATATTCATATTTACTTAATAAGAAGGATATTAGTATATATTTGGTGAAGAATTATTTTATTCAATGAAATAAAAAACGTTCATATCATGATTTTATAAGAAGATTATTTTTAACACTTGCACATGTTTACAAAATTATATATTTAACTAATGGAATTAGACTAATTGGCATGTACATAATTTTGAATTAATTAAGTATACTTCAACATTTTAAAAATACTTATATATTAAGATTTTTTCAATTACTTTAGATCATATCAAATATAGTTTTTCATTAATAAATTATTCTCTTCTAAATAGCTTGCTACAACATAAACTAGTAGATTAACAAAATTTATATAATAACATTATACATAGAGTAACATATTCTTTCTTTGTCTTAAACTATATGTAATTTCTAGAGATGAGATCGATGTAGCTAAGAGCTAGATAATTAGTGAAATCAAGGAAAATAAGAAAAGAACTACTTAATATAAACTCTATAAATATATAATTTTATATAACAATAATTAGAAAGTATAATATAATTTACTTAAAAAACTACTTCAAATACAAAATATCAACATAAAGCATGCTTTAACTCAAGTAAGAGAATCAATTCTAATATGTTAGATGGACACATCCATTAATAAATCATCTTATCATACAACCTCAACTAAGAATATTAATCAAATTCCATAATATCAAGAATTAACCTTCCAAATTTTATACTATTAATAATGTACATATATGAATACAAGTATAGAGTTAAATAACAAATACCTTTCTTTAAAATTTATATATTTAGAAATTTCTAAAATATAATATATTAGATAAATTTAAATTAATAATAGATTTACATGAACCTTTAATCCCTCAAAACCACAAAACTCAAAGTTCCAAAGTCAAACATATAAGCTAAATAAGGTCAATCATATATTAAAAGAAATATCAAGAAGCAATATACATGAAACAAATCTTCAACTTATTATCTGTTGATACTACAAATCATTTAATAAGTAGTGAAAATACAAAATAATACTTTTTATTATTAGTCAAGCTGATGGATTACAAATGTGGCAACTCAAAATTCACCAA